GGGACTCCAGGATCATGACCTGAGCCGAAGGCAGTCGCTTAACCAACTGAGCCACCCAGGCGCCCCATCTCTGTCAAATAAATAAATAAAATCTTTAAAAACACAAAATAGAATGCAGTCATGGTGGGGCGCCTGGGTGGCTCAGTCGGTTAAGTGTCTGACTCTTGGTTTCAGCTCAGGTCATGATCTCAGGGTCATGAGATCAAGCCCTGCATCTGGCTCCTCGCTCATCTCGGGGATTCTGCTTGAGATGCTCCCCTCTCCCTCTGCCCCTCCCCCGCTCATTCTCTAAATTTTTTTTCTTTTTTTAAAAGGATGCAGTCATGCGGGACACGTGGGTGGCTCAGTTGGTTAAGCATCTGCCTTCGGCTCGGGTCATGATCCCAGAGTCCTGGGATTGAGCCCCACGTCGGGCTCCAAGCTCAGCAGGGAGTCTACTTCTCCGTCTCTCTCTGCCCCTAGCCCTACTCATGCTCCCTCTCAAATAAATGAATAAAATCTTTTAAAAATAAATAATAGGGCGCCTGGGTGGCTCAGTTGGTTAAGCGACTGCCTTCGGCTCAGGTCATGATCCTGGAGTCCCGGGATCGAGTCCCGCATCGGGCTCCCTGCTCGGCAGGGAGTCTGCTTCTCCCTCTGACCCTCCTCCCTCTCATGCTCTCTGTCTTTCATTCTCTTTCTCAAAAAAAAAAAAAAAAAAAATCTTTAAAAAATAAATAAATAAAAATAAATAATAAAGGGATGCAGTCATGCCCATTTGTTTTGTCTGTGGCTGCTCTCCTGTTATAACAGAGTGGAGAGCAGCAAAAATTTCAAACACTTATTATCTGGTCCTTTACAGAAAAAGTTTGTGACCCGTAAGTTATTCTACCCCATGTACACCCACATCATTCTAATAAAAACTTCCAAGGGTTGTCTGATTATAAAAGATTTAAATATAAACCACGAACAGGAAAATCCTGAAAGAGGAAAAAGTGATCATGTGGAATTTGATTTTTCCAATGTATATGTATAAAGATAATACTAGCAATGCCTCCTTGTGGGTCTATATCCGACATACAGCTTTCAAACCCAGAACGAATGGCAAGCCCTCAATTTCATTGTCTGACTTCTGCAACAGTCTATGCTAAAGGAGAAGATAAAATCTACAGAGCAAAACACTACCACTGGAAGATACATCCAGAAACTGGAAAGGTACTAGGAAGTTAGGAAGTGTTTCCTAATGATGTCAAAATCTTGCTTTCTGGTAAAGCTGTCCATACTCTCTGAGCCAAAAATTTGGGGGAAAAAGGTTTTGAATAGTTTGCATGTGCCATGGGTGTTTTTGAATTTGGGATGCACTAAAGAGATGTCAAATTCATCACTCTGATCCTCACAGATCCACACGGAAGTGGAAACAGAGCTGAGGTTCAAACAGGTTAACAGACATTCATTCTCACAGATGGACTTTTGATAAACAGAGTTAAAAAGACAAGAATTACTTGCAAGTGTAGAGGTTTTAACAAGTGGGGCTGTGAAATCTGGAGACTGGGGTTTTTGGAACAGCCAGTCTACCTGCATGGAGCACTCTCATGCCATAAACATTAAATAAATTTAGCATCTTGATGTCCTACTTTCCAAAAAGTACCTAGTCCCAAATCAGCTTCCTAAAAACACATGGACTATTAAAATTTAAAGGATGATGCCAAATAAATGTGTTAATGACAACTTGGTCACATACTCATTTTTAAGATTTGTACGTATATTTTATTTTTTTTAAAGATTTTATTTACTTATTTGAGAGAGAGAGACAGCGAGAGAGGGAACACAAGTAGGGGGAGTGGGAGAGGAGAAGCAGGCTTCCCGCTGAGCAGGGAGCCCAATGCGGGGCTCGATCCCAGGACCCTGGGATCATGACCTGAGCCGAAGGCAGCCGCTTAACCGACTGAGCCACCCAGGTGCCCCAGTTTGTATATATATTTTAAAGACACCTTTATGTTGATTTTTACTAGTACAACTCAGACAAAAGGGGCACCAAAGCTAACACCAGTTGAATTCTCAGGGCCTATTTAGGAAAGATTTATACTCTACGCAGAGTTTGAGCACTTACCTCTGTTCTCCCTTTGCTATTCATTATTCAGTTGCCTTCCCTCAAGTCAGAAAAATTCTCATTTCATTCAGGACTGGCTCATCAGTATGTCTCCTCCTTGGTGCTTTCCCCTGATGTACAGATATGCATAGATACCCACAGCCCTCCTACCTCTTCTTTCACAGGTCATTTCAGAATGGTTATGTGCCCCCCAAACTCCTAACACCCACTGCCCACTCTACTATAGCATTTATAAGCTCCAGCAATGTGGGACATTACTCATTTTTTGGTCAAATGTAAAAGAGAAAGACATGAATGGCAAGAAGCAACAGACCCCTGATGTGCTAAGGTTAAGTTTACTACATTATGCGATAGGACCACAAACCTTCAAAGTGATGTTTCTTCACATGACTGCCTCACTATTCATTAAAATATTGTAGCAAGCCGGGGCACCTGGGTGGCTCAGTCGGTTAAGCATCTGACTCTTGATTTTGGCTCAGGCCGTGAGTTTGAGCCCTGCTTTCGGCTCCGCATGCAGCGGGGAGTCTGCTTGAGATTCTCTCTCTCTGTCTCTCTGCCCCCCAATAAATAAATAAATCTTTAAAAAAATATATATTGTAGCAAGCAGCCTCAGAACCGTCCATTTAAGAGAGAATGCAATTGGTGCAAAGTGAAAGATTTTCTTTCCAATCCTCAAGTCCCTACTTTCCTCATATCCCCTTAGTGCTCTTATAGCTTGCATCTTCTGAGAGTAAACTGTAAAAGCCAGAAGCCTATTACTTTATTTATTCACATATTTCCCCACATTAACTGGTCCCTAAAGTGAATGTGAAATGAAGAAAATATCTGCGTGACTCGGTAGGTTACAGAGGAGAAACCAGGAAGCATTCCCCCTGCAAACCTGCCCCACCTGCACTCACTGACGGTCCAGGAAGGCTGCTAGGCTTAGCAGGGGGCACGGGGTCAAGAGCAGGTGAGACAGAGCGGCTGCCGGCCTTCCTGCCAATTGGACACCTGCGCTTCAAATGAAAAGATTGAGAGAGAAAAGTCTACATATATTAACGTCACTTTTCACATCTTGGCAAACTACCTTCCTTCCTCAGTTTCTCACAAACACATCAATCTATAAGGTATATCCATTTGAGTCTCAACAGGGAAGAACTTGGAAGGCAAGAATGGACTGTCACTGGAAGCTGTGTAACTGACACATCTAAGTAGGAGACTCCGAGAAAATGAAAACGAGCAGTCACCAGATTTTTGCTTAATTTTCCCTTTCCTCAAATTTAGAATGGAAATGGGAAGTGGGGGGACAGGAAGTATGCAGCTAAACACGGCACAGGTTATTTTACAAGTGTAGAGCTCTTAAGGTATGCTGTTTCCAGCTGCTCAGGGAGTGTGGTCTTTAGACGTCCATCAGAACAGCAAAAAGGAAAAAAAAAACCATGTTAGAGGAGCGGATAAACACGTACGTCACAGCAGAAACCACATGAGCTAGGTATATGCAAGAGAAAACAACTGGTCTCCTCGAAGAATAGATTTGCCCACAACTTTAAAATAGACTTCCTCTTCTATATACAAATCGTACTTGTCTTCTTTCCTAATGAGTATCATCTGCTTGAACAAAAAATGATTTTCAAGGTAAGAGAGAAACCAGAGGATTCCATTCACACCTGTACAGAAATATTTACTTTGTAAGACAAAAAACTCAAGAGCATGGTACACAGCAGTTATTTATTTAAATACTCGAAAAGGTTGATGATGGAAAAAGAATAGGTTTATCGTGAGAGTTTATGTTCATTAGATTTATTTTACCATTTAAACAAGTGCTGCCTCCGGGTTATCCTAGCCAGACAGAGAACACTTTATGACACGTGCAGCCACTGTAAGACGCTATAATAGACACGGCCGTTATCGAATGATGTACACTGGGGGAGGAAATTCAGTAGTAGTAATGGTGACTGTTTATTTAAACTAAAAACATTGATAATATACAAATCTTTTTTCTCATTTGATTGAAAGGGCTATAAAATTCCACATACAGACAAAGGAAGCAACATAATCATATAGGTAATGCCCCAGCTAACTGCCTTTAACTCACTCCCTTCCTTCAAGAAGCACTTCACTCAGCTATGCAACTTTCTACACGGCACGACAGCTTCGAGGCTGGCCTACCAACGAGTGACTGAAAGAGAGGTGTGAGCTGACCAGGACGCATCTGTTTTTAAAAATGGAGAGAAAATGGCAAATTGTGCCTGGTGTTCTTTAAAGAACCCAAAGGATCGTTCTGAGTAAAATGTGAAATAAATAAGTGATCCATGAGTAAATACAATCTCTGAGCTGACTTAGATCTAGGAGAGTGAGCCAACCGAACACTAACAATACCATGTAGAAACATCTAGAAACATCATTTCTAGAATTCAGTTTGGGAGACCATATCTTGCCTGAATATGTACATTATTTACAAAATATTCCCTTTTGGCCTCTGAAATTTAGCCATTTTAGTTTGGCTGTTAAGCTCTTTCTTTCCATATGCTAGCCAATACTGCAGTTATAACTATCATTAAAATACTCTTATGCATGAATTACAAATATTAATAAAGTAACTCTGCATGTATAAATATCTCAATATTTCTAGCAGAATTTAAAGCATACATAAATACATAAAAGTATTTGTTTTTGGTAGGGCCAGTATTTTTTTTTTTTTTAATCATCGCTGTTTCAACAATGCTTTGTACATAGCAAAACCCAAAACTGCGAAAACAGTAGCACCAAAACTTGCTCGAAGCCAAAACGTGGAGCTCTTGAGGTCAGCTTGTGTCACGTGCCTGTAGTCAGAAAATATAATTAATGTTCAAGACATGATTAGTATGAAAATACCAATTATATTAACAGTCTACTTTTAGGGAAGTATTAGCACACTTGTCAGGCTAATTGCATACAGTAATGCTTACCAAAAACATTTATCAATATAGCCACATGTGCATCGCTTAGATAATCATTATCTTAAGACATAATGAAGCATTAATAAAGCCGAATGTCTTTATAATTAGCTACTACTTGGGAGTAATCAACATCTAAAATTTTAGACATTTTCTTCACATGGGAAATGGAGAACGTAGACAAATCAACCTACTACTTTTTAATCCCACCACAGTCCTTCAAACTGAGAGGTAGAACCAAGATCTTACAATCTTGAGAGTCCATTTCATGGAACTTAATATGTGATCTCCTGTGCCCAGGAATCAAAAGCTATCATGTAAGCAGTTAAGCGACAAGTGACCATACTTTTCTAAGAGCAATGCTTAAAATCAACTTTGGAAACACTGAGCCCCATAAAAATTTACCAAAAAAATCCCAAAGGGTATGGGGAAGATTTACCAGTTCACATTAATTGGGTTACTGCTGGTTAAAGAAAGAAAATTAAAAATAAAACAAACAAAAAAACCCCCCAAAAACCAACCCTGATATTAGACAGGCAGTGACAATGGTACGAACTAAAGGACATCATGTAACATGATGGACTGAAAGGTAAATGACATAAAAGAAGCCATATTATTCATGACAAGAACAGGGACAGCCTGTACCACAAACTGAGTTTGTGAGCATGCTCAGTTAATGACACTGCTAAGCACCCTCAAGAGTCTCAAGTATGACAGCTTACCAGAAAGAGGATAATGCTTGAAAGCAAAAGTTGGAATATTTTATTCAAGTGTCACTAGAGTTTTAGTTAAATGAGCACAATTGAGAAGATGTAGAAAACTTACAGAATTAAGAGCTTAGACTGTCTAGTTCAGGTTATTTTACAACTAAGAAACAAACAGATTTGAAGCAAAAGTCAGACATCGTTAAAAGACCAGGACACTGACATATGCAAAAGAGTTAAGAGCCAAGAATATCAATTGTACAAAACGACTTCGCCTCAGTAATAGAGTGACGATCGGATTAGTTATCACAAAATGCAATCTGCCCATCCTAGAACAAGTCTATAATACAAGCCAGAGTGCTCCATGCTTATCACCATGGCAAAACAACACACAGCACTCCAATTTCTTATTCTCCCCAGTTCCTAAAAAAAAAAGAAAAGAAAAAGAAAAAAAAAAATCACTCCTGACATATTATTTTACAAAAGCAAAGTGATAACACAGATTCATTCCACCTTGTGAGTTAGTTCCTCCAACCGGCAATGTTTTATTGATTGATTTATTTCAAGTTAGAGAAGAAAATTCGTAGGTTTCAGTTTTTCCAGTTGGAAAAACCCCAACAAGGCCAACCCACTGGTTGTGGGAAATGTTACCTGGCTTCAAGACAAAGTGGACCATGGGATGACTCCATGAAGATAGAATCTTCTACAGAGCTGACGGCGTGCACCTGGTGAGTAATCCTGCCTTCGTCCTTGGCTAACAGCATGGCACCCCACTCAGCTACCCAGGCTCTTAACCTTTTATACACATGCACACAGTTTGAAGTTCACAGCAGAGCTCACAAAAGAAGGGGACTGAAAATAACATCTCTCAATTAAACATCCCACACAGAAATTGAGTTGCCACCCTAATATGATGCATCTCGTGCTTTCTATATTTAAAATAAATGTATTCTGTAACAAATTGCCAAACTTTCAAAAAAAAAAAAAATCTATGGGTACTTTTTAAAAACACTCACATACCAGGCAAGAAAACCTAAGGCTGTGATATACATTCTCTATATATCCCTGCGAGGCTGGTCCTGGTAGGTCTGAAACACTAAGAGAAGCCCTGGAACTCAGTCCCTAAACAGTACCTGACGGTAGGTGGTGATCATAGGTATTCATTCAAAATGAGGCTAACAACTATTAGTCACAAAATGTACTGATGCTTCTGACTGCAGACTACCAACAACTGTAAACATACATCTGCAAAAAATTGAGTCCAACACTCCAAACTCATGGACTATCAGAGACCTATGATGAGAGTTTCAAAGTGTGTAACTCCAAATCAATAGAGATGCACAGAATTTAAAGTGAGAACACAGGCTAAAAGGGCAGTAGAGCTTCTGCTTCGGCTTTGGTCTCTCTCTGATTTTTACGCATCTTCACTGATGGAGGATTTTTAAAAGTTTTTTTTTAATAAAAAAAAAAGAAAAAAAAATAAAAGTTTTTTTTTACATTTATTTTTTAATTTGGGGAAGAAAAGGACTAGGATTAAAGCTAGCTGTCATCACCTTAAAGTCAGTCAAAACGATTTCTCATAAATATTTTCAAGTATGGAATCCGTTTCACACAGCTCCCTTTGTTGTATTGGAAGCAAGTATTACCATTCATGAAATAATATATTCTGACTTTATTGCTTAGTTTACTTTTGCATTTCAAGATAGTAATGACTGTTTTCCACAAGCTATAGTATAGCCTTCCATAGGCAGAACAGCAATTCATATTTATATATGAGAAACAATAAAGACACGTGGTGAAGCCACGTTTAAAACTTAAGGCAACTACTAACTCATAAGATATACTTCAATGACTCCATCAACCTTATAGTGGTTATTTAAGACACCTATAGACCTGGAAGTCTACTTAAGAGACCTATTTTATCCCGTTAGCATGTGCATTTAAGAGCTGCACTAACCAGGCTCTCTATATATGAGAACGCATTTATAATGGATGGCACACCTGTCACTGCTTAGCTGACTCACAGCACCTGAACAGAGAACAGTGTGACGATCTTAGTTGTATTCCATACGTATGAGAACTGAGCCATGTTTGTCATTTCAGGTCTCAAGCTGAAGCAGAGTAATAGTTTCATAAAGCTGCTTCCTAGTTCATTTCAAAACTCAAGCAAAAATAATTCTTCCACAATTCAAAAGTATAATTTTTTCAAAATGACTCACATAAAATATCATTTTAGAATAAATTATCTTATGGCATACTTTTTTCTTTTTAGTTTATTATATTTTTTACTGTCAAAAAGGTAATATATGCTCATTATAAGATACAAGGAAAATAAAAGTAGGAAGAAAAAAAAATGACCTAGAGTCCCATCACCTAAGGCAACTAATACTTAGGGTATTTCCTTTTAGACTTTTCCTATGTGTTTCTTACATAGCTGCAAACATAATGTGTATAATTTATATAATTTTATATCCTTTTAAAAATTTACTATTATGTAAATTACAGAAACATCATTTTAAACAGCTTTATTATATCCGATTCCCCTATGGGTGGCTGTCTCCATTTACTGGTGACTATAACTAAAGGGATGAATATCCTTCTACCGTAAGATTTTTCTCTGTATTTAGTATAGTTTCCTTAAGAGACTTCCCAAAAATGAATATTACAAGGTCAAAAATCTGTGTGCATGTGTGTGTATAAAGATTCTTTTTAAAAAACCTATTGAGAGGCGCCTGGGTGGCTCAGTCGTTAAGCATCTGCTTTCGGCTCAGGTCATGGTCCCAGGGTCCTGGCATGGAGTCCCGCATCGGGCTCCCTGCTCAGCGGGGAGCCTGCTTCTCCCTCTGCCTCTCCCCCTGCTTGTCTCACTCCCTCGCTCTCTGACAAATAAATAAAATCTTAAAAAATAAAAATAAAAAATCTATTGATATAACAGAATCACATTTTCCTTCTCTATGTACAATAATTTAGATCAGCAGTATCTCTTTTTAGAACATAAGAAATAATGACTAAATGCTGGAATATAATCCGTAATTAATCATCTGAAACTTGTCAGAGCTTCTAAGTTCTGAGATGGAAAATTCTTCCATATTGGATGCTGGCTTTCTGCTTAGAAGTGCTGAGGGTTCATATGTCAATCAGATGACAAGCGCTTTTGTTTGTTTTTTTTAAGTAGGCTCCACGCCTAATGTGGGGCTTGAACTCACAACCTGGCAATCAAAAGTTGCATGCTCTACTGACCGAGCCAGCCACGCACCCCTACGCTGCTACTTAATAAGGCAGAGAGAAAGGGAGGTTTCAAACTTCAGGCAATAAAGGCTTAAATTAAGAAGTGTCTGTGTGAACAAGGCATATAACAGAGTGACCACAATTCCTATGTACCTTTGCACAGAATGCCTTAAAGAAGGCATACAAGATACTTTTGATTCACTCTGCAATTTATGACATATGTAAGAACATGAGTTAAAATCTTTATTGGTTCAATGTATTTGACCAGTAATAAAAGGAATGGTATCAGTTACAATATTTAGAAACAAAATGATCAAATTCTAAAGGGCTCAGTGGAATTAAACCATTCTAGCTATTCCCATATAGGGTATTTTTAATATTGTTTTTTATAACGTGTCCCAGGACTTTATATCTCGGGTATATAGACTATATTGCAGAGACCTAAAAGTCTGCAAAAATTACAATTTAAGGAAGGGGGAGAATCCAGAAAGGTCCAGATGTCAGTTGCAGGCTCTCATGAGGAGGAAAGAAAAGTTCAGTGGAGCGAACTCAAGAGCAGCGCACTGAGACTGCGGGAAGAGCAGTCCCACCAGGCACATTTACCAGCCATCCTGTGCAACTTTGCAGAAATAGATGTGAATTTCCTAGATTACATTCTTTTCATCTCACCACCCGATCCTTTCCAAACCCAAAGCAGAGGTGCACAGATGCAGGAATATGAATGTTCTTCTAATTTTATAATTCTATCCACATATGTATTTCACGTAGGAATTTTTAAGTTAATACTTTGCAACCGCCTACATAACTGTAATGCATGGAACCTAGTTACTAGGGCTCATAGACAGTACATACAGCTTTTTCCTAGTTGCAATTACATAGTTCAAGTTGAAAACTGTACCGAGGTCACCAAAATTGTAGTTAAATGTTCTGTTTTTAAATATTTCACTTGCTTTT